GTAGGAGTCTTCCTGCTTTGTGGTCAGATCAGACAACAGATGCCTCTAAAAATGTCTAGACAGGTAACCGGATGGAGTCCTTAGGTTTAGAGTCAAGCGACTCTCAACAGCATAGCCTCCTGGGATGGCTCAGTTCTCATTTCCTGTTCATGCAGCTGTGGAATTAACTGTAAAGTTCTTTTTTGCCAATCTGTATACTTTGAACACCATCAATAACATGAGTGAAGAATAATTTCTATCATCATATAGTAATTATCAAACCTTTTTGTATGGATCAAAGAAAATATGGTCATTCTGGTTATCAAATACTAGCTAAACATTTCTGGCATGTGGATTCTTTATTAATTATTTTTAACTATATTTTATTGATTATGCTATTACAGTTGTTCCACATTTTCCCCCATTGCCCCCTCCACCCAGTACCTCCCTTCCCTCCAGCAATCACCCCCTTAGTTCATGTCCATGGGTCATGTATATAAGTTCTTTGGCTTCTCCATCTCCTATACTATTCTTAACATCTCCCTGTCTATTTTGTACCTACCAATTATGCTTCTTAATCCCTGCACCTTTTTCCTTATTCTCCCCCTCCCCACTGATAACCCTCCAGATGATCTCCATTTCTGTGAATCTGTTCCTATTTTGGTTGTTTGCTTAGTTTGTTTTTTAGATTTAGTTGTTAATAGTTCTGAATTTATTGTCATTTTAATGTTCATAGTTTTGATCTTCTTTTTCTTAAATAACTCTCTTTAACATTTCATGTAATAATGGCTTGGTGATGATGAACTCCTTTATCTTTATCTTGTCTGGGAAGCACTTTATCTCTCCTTCCATTCTAAATGATAGCTAGTAATCTAGGTTGTAGGTTCTTGCTTTTCATCACTTTGAATACTTTTTGCCATTCCCTTCTTGCCTGCAAAGTTTCTTTTGAGGAATCAGCTGACAGTATTATGGGAACTCCTTTGTATGTAACTGTTTTTCTCTTGTTGATTTTAAGATTTTCTCTTTATCTTTAACGTTTGGCATTTAAATTATGATGTGTCTTTGTGTGGTTCTCTTTGGATCCAACTTGTTTGGGACTCTGTGTGTTTCCTGGACTTGTATGTCTATTTCCTTCACCAAATTAGGGAAGTTTTCCTTCATTATTTTCTTCAAATAAGTTTTCAATTTCTTGCTTTCTCTTCTCATTCTGGCATTTTTATTATTCAGATGTTGGTATATTTGGAAATGTCCCAGAGGGTCGTTACACTACCCTCATTTTTTTTAGTTCTTTTTTCTTCTTGATGTTCTGATTGAATACTTATTTCTTCCTTATGTTCCAAATCATTGATATGAATCCTAGCTTCTTTCCCTTCACAGTTGGTTCCCTGTGGATTTTTCTTTATTTCACTTAAGGTAACCTTCATTTCTTCCTTTATGTCATTGCCATACTCAGTGAATTCTCTGAGCATGCTGATCAACAGTGTTTTGAACTCTGCATCTGATAGGTTGGCTGTCTGTGTTTCCTTTATTTCTTGGTCTGGGGTTTTGTTCAGTTCTTTCATTTGGGCCATATTTCCTTGTCTTCTCAATTTGGCAGCCTCCCTGTGTTTTTGTGTATTAGGTAGAGCTGTTTTGACTCCCTGTCTTAGAGCACCTGTTAGTTGTATGGAGTGGAGCCTTAGGTGTTCACCAGACAACCTACTTCACCACTTTGTGGCTCTGTGTGGTGGAAAGGGTTGAAGAGGGAACAATGCCACTGCCTGGCTTCTGGAGGTTTGCCCAGCACTTCCCCATTTCCAGTCATTTCACACACGTCCTGTATGCCACTGGTGCCCTTCTGGCTGTTGTCCTGGTAGCGATTGCCAGAGTGAGTGGGTCTGTGTACATTCTAAGTCCATGTGGGGCCTTTAATGGACCCTCCTGAGACACTGGCAATTTCTTCTGCTGCCCCATACCTTATTGGGTTTTACAGCCAGAAATTATGAGGCTTTATCCTCCTGGTACTGGAACCCTGTGTTGTGTGGTCTGGCCTGGGGCTGGGATCGCTTACTCCCACGGTATCCCTCCTGATTTTTATGCATCACATGTGAATGTGGGACTACCTGTTCTGCTGCTGCAACCTCTCTGAACCACACTGCATCCTCTCTGCCTTGACTCCACGACTCTGTCCCTCTTACCTGTCTGGATGAATGTGGTTTCTTTAAATCCTTGGTTGTCAGACTTCCATACAGTTCAATTTTCTGGCAGTTCTGAGTGCTTTTTATTCTGATGTTAGTTGTGATTCTTCTTGTGGTTGCATGAGGAGGTGAAGCATGTCTATCTAAGCCTCCATCTTGACCAGAAGTCCATATTACTTATTAATCATTTTAATTATAACCAAATGTTCTAGAGTATGGATTAAAACTAATACAATTATTTATCACACTATTTCTTCACATGCAGATTAATTGCCCTTACTATTGCTGGATTGCCCTTCATTAATTTAATTCTTTTCAAATAACACATAGGTTGTTATATCATGAAACATTTTCAGGGAAGGAAATGTCTGCCTTCCCTACAGCCTTTACAAACCAACTTATCCCTTCACCCCTTTTTCCCCCGTCCCAGTTTTCTTATTTTATTTTCCCCTCCAGCCTCACCTGTGAGTGTTTTAGGAACTAGCCTCTATGTTAAACCCAATTGTATGTTCATCCCAACACTATTTAATTCCCTGTGGTGGCACTGAGACACTTAGAAAATAAATATCCTGATTTTTTTCTATGTGGAAGGAATGAGAAAATAGTATAAATATCCCACAGTAAAAATATGTTATAACTTCATTCATTATCAATTTATTATCTCCCAGTGGCCAAGGAGAATGGGCCCCAGTACCTGGAGGGTCCTTTGTTGGTGAGCTCTGAGAGGTATAAACTAGAAAACTCCCAAATTTCTCTGCAAAAGGAAAAAAAGAGAGAGAGGGGAGATTGAAATACCTGAGGGAGAAGGGGCTAGGCATACCAAAACTGGGGTGGGAGTGGGTGGGTGCTGAGCTGAGTCCTGTGAGGTGGGGAGGCCAAAAAGAGGAGTCCAGCGATTGTGTGGCTGGAAGCAGAGACACAGGAAGGGACAGCCAAGTGACATTTTGAAGGGATTTGTTGTGTGAGGTGTAATGTGATTCTCTGAGATCCACAAAACTACAAAGATGACAATATCCTTGGTGTGGTTGGATTTCTTGTGGAAAGAGAGAAAAGATCTAACCGAAAAGAAGAGAGACAGCTGACCTCTTGGTTTTATAAACAGGCATATGATGCTTTAGAATCCAGCTATGAGTATGAGAACTGAGATTTGGAACATTTTTTAGGACAATGGAGGAAATGGAGCCCCATTCTACACACCAGGATATTGCAGCTGGCTATTTCTGTGCCTTCAAACTGAATACCAAAGCAGACACACAGTACATCCCTAACAGGAGTTGCCTAGATTTGCCATAGAGTCATCAACACATACGACTGGTGCAGAGCATTCTTCCCTTAGTCATTTGCAAGTAAACTTTTAACGCATTTGGTACCTTAAAAATGTGTTTCTTCATTGTTTTCCATTTTTTCAGCTACCCAGTTCTATCTTTCAGGTCTATCACACCAAAAGGACACAAAAGAAATAGGAAGGGCACATATACCACAAAGAAAGATCATAAGAAGGCACAAGAAGGGTGGCCAAAAATGTAAAACACATGCTAGCAGCCCAGAGAACAGTCACAGCTTGGAAAGTGCTGTTTCAAATCATAGCCAGTATCCATTTATGATGCAAGTACCCAAACCATACTTTTTATTTCAGTTTTGCCTGGAAATTACAGCCAAAGCCAGAGGTTATAAAACTCAACTGCAGAGTAATTCAAATACTATTGACACAGGTACTTTTTAATGACCATGTATTCAGCTAGCAGTTACATCTGGTGAAAGAGAATATTAGTAAATGTTTAGATACCAACTACCTAGTAGGTAAAGTCAGTACTTATTTGATATCTTATATTCATGGAGTGTGTATCTTTTTACAAAAAAAGTGAAAGATCTTCCTGAAATATTGAAAATCATACTCTTCACATGTAATTCAAAATTAAGGTAAATATTTGATGAGATCTTTATTGTAGAAAACTGTGTCTCTTCACTTCAGGTTGTAATTTATAGGGGAGATTGCTTTTAGTTCACCAGACCCATGCAAATTAGCTCCTGGCTCTTGTTCTCAATCTCAACAGTACACTGGAGGCACCTGAGGCTCCACCCCAAGAAATTCTGATGCAGTTATACCAGGCAACATGGGGCACGGATATTTCCGCAAGCCCTTCAGGAGATTCCAATGTGCTGCCAAGGTTGAGAACCACTGTTTTGGGGGGTCACTTTTTAAGTTGCTATATACACGAGGAAGACCAGTTACATTTTAATTTTCTAACAACAAAACGTTGTTTAGTAGAAGTATTTCTATACTAAAATTTTATTCAAAATTCTGTTTGAACTGAGTCTCCTGTGTTTTTATTTGCCAAATTTGTCAACCCTATCATTTCCTTGACTTTATTCTGACTTCATAGGAGACAGGAGGCTAATTTACATTCCTTAATTTGAAAGCATTAAGACTTTTTGTCTTGTCTTCTTTTAGCCCTGTTTGTAACAAACCTTATACCTCTAAAAATCCATTTCTTGAAAATAAAAAGCACTGGTAAATTCAGCCAGGCCTTTGCTCCCGCGAGCTGCCAGCATTTTCTCTCGTGTTTTCCCCGTGGTTCCCTCCAGCAGTGGAAGGTCAAGTCTCTCTCAGGCTTTAAATCATTCTGACATCTTCTAGTTCATCTTTCTGACTCCAGCTGGAGAAAATAGTCTGCTTCTCAAGGATTATGTCATTAGATTGCTTTACCTGGATAATCCAGGATATTCTCCCTATTTGGGTTTATAACTAAGTACATCAGAAAAGTCCCTTTTGCTAGGTACTGTAACAGATTCATGTTACGGGTTGCAGGGATTGAGATGTGGGCATTCTGGGGGGGGGGGTCCTCTCTGCCTACCATGGTTGTCTTGGGTGTAACCTTCACCTCTGCTATCAGGCCTCCTTCATCACTCCTTTGTTGCAGTGGAGGGGGTCATCCTCGAACTGTTTTTCTGAGAAAGCCTGTACGAAAAGAATATTTAAAATTTTGAATATCTGAAACTTTTTTTTAACCTCATAACTTTACTACTTTCGAGATTGGAAATTCTTTTCCCTCAGAATATTTTATTATGTTTCTGTCAAGAAATCCAATGTCAATTCAATTTCTAAATCTTCATAAGTGACCTATTTTTTTTTTCACCCTGGAAGCTACTAAGATCTCTCTGACTCGTGTGTTTGAAACGTCCCAAGAATACATGCAGGTCTAGATAATATTTATCCACTGAGTTGAGTTGAGAGCTTGTGTCCTATTGCCCTTCAGTTCTGAGAACTGCTGTCCTGGTTTTCTTCAATAATTCTCTTTTTTCCATTTGCTCTGTTTACTATTAAAATTTTCCTTTCTTCATGTAATTGCCTGAGCTAGAACCTGCAGTGCAGTGTTGAATAAAAGTAGCAAGATAGACATCCTTGTCTTATTCCTGATCTTAGGTGAAAGTATTCATTCTTTCACCTTTAAGTATGATGTTCATTAAAAAAAAATAGGTATCCTTTATCAGGTTGTGAGGAATTTCCCTTTTATTCCTAGTTTGTTGAGTGTTTTTCATTAAAACATGCTACATTTTGTCTAATGTATTTTTGGCCTACATTGAGATGATCCTGTGGTCGTTATCCTTTCTTTTACTATAAGTGAATTACATTGGTAAATTTTGTTTGCTAAGCCAACCTTGCATTCCTTAGCTAAATCCCTCTTGGTCATGTTGTAAAATGCTTTTATCTATGTTGCTGAATTTGCTTTTCTAGTGTTTTGTAGTGTTACTGTTCATACGGTATATTCACCTGATGTTTCCCTGGCATGTCTTGGTTTGGTTTTGTTACCGATTTCATCGGATTTTCAGGTGGGAATGTATTTCATACAGCCTTAGTCTTGGGACAAGACTCCAAATAAGCCACTTCAAGCAAATGACAATTTCTGTATGGCAGAAAAAGCTGGATAGTTTTTTGAGGTTCACCCTTTGCTTCATTCTCCTTCCTGAAGTCAACTAATAAAACTTGCTGTTTATATTCCAAACCTTATTTATAGTCTTTTGATGATCTATTTTCATTGCTCTGAAGCCAGCGTTTACTACTGCTAACAAGTCAGTGTTGACTCAAAGTGGCCCCCCTCGCTCCCTGAATAAGCGCTTTGATTTGCCTCCTTGTCATCACCTCACCTGCCCTCCGTCTGTCACCTGTCAGGAGCACTTCAGTGGTTACTCTCGGTCGCAAGCAGGTGGAACCTTAGGCGCAAAAAGGTAAGCAATTTAGGGAGTGATGTTAGAAGCAAAAACTCAACCCAGGTAGTGGTGGTGCCTTGGGATGAGTCTCGGGCACTGCGGCGGACCGTGGGGACGCCCTTGGGACGGCCCCGGCAGGTGGGCTCGCGACGGAAACTGCAGGTGGGGCTGGGCGAGGCCACGGGGACGGGGCCACCCCTGCTGGCCCGGGGAAAGACACGAGAGACAACAGGAGAACAACTTTCCCGCGGGCCGCCTGCCCGCGCGGCTGCGCTGCTCGCGGGTCTGCGCGGGGTCAGGGCGCGGCGCCGCCCACGCGCGGCTCGGCCGGAACCGCGGACGCGGGTGAGCCGGGCGGGCGGCTGCGAGGCGGGCCGGGGCGCGGAACAGCAGGCCGCGGGGCTCCCGGCTGCGGGCACAGCTCCTGCGCCTACCGCGGGGTTTGGCTCCTGTCGCTTCCCGTCTCGCCGAACCGGCCTGGCCGCCGCCGGGGCCTCGGAGTCCTCGCTCCGAGCCGGCCTGCGGGCGCCCGGGGCCGGGAGGGGGCGCGGAGCCGGCGGCTGGGGGGCGCGGAGACAGGTGAGGGGCGGCGGCTCGGGCGCGGCCCGCGCTCCCCCGGGGGCTCCCGCCTGGGCCCCGCACTGCTCGGCCTCGGCGGCTCCGGGCCGCGCTCGCCCCGGGAAGACGCGCCGTGGGCTGGGCGGGCCCCGCCACCGCCTCCCGCCCCGGCCTCAGGTGCTGCGGCGGCGGTTTAACTTTCGCACCTGAGGCTCCCTGGCGGCCTCGGGAGCGCCCGGGGCGAGGGTGGAATTACACGGGGACCGGAGACGGGCCGGGCGGGGCGCCGGGGGCGTGGCGGGGCGGCGGGCGGGTGCGCGCAGCGCTCCCGGCCGGAGTTGGGGAGCTGCGTCCCGTTCGTCCCGTGGCTGCGGGTGGGAGGGGCGGCACACACCCCCTTCCGCGGCCGTCCCCTCGGCACAGATCCACTTTCTTTTGTCTGGTCCGTTCCGGTGTCGGCGTTGCAGCTCCGGCGGTGGCTGCCGCGGTCCGGAGTGCCCAGCCGGGCTGCCACGCGCGAGTCCCCAAGTAAGCGCTGAGAGGCGGCGGGCGCAGGCGGGGGAGGGGCCGGGCTGGGCGCGGGGCTATTAGTGCTTTAATTAACACTAGCAGGTTTAGATTGCCGTGTTCTTTTAGACATCGTACCCCATATTTTTGTAGCATCTAATAGTTTTAAGTGCACCCGGGAGAGCATTCATTAGTGAACTTCAAAGGAGCATTGTGTAGGCAGGTTACTATTAAATTATCCCATTTTATAGACTAGACAGCTGAGGCGCCCACAGGGAAAAATGGTCTTCACAAAACCAGGCGTCCAGCAGTGGTGGGAGCTGTGACCGGAGCTTGTCCGGCTGACAGTTGTCCTCGGTCCACTCAGTCTCCAACAGAATTTAGCGCTCAGAGTGCCTGTCTCATACTCGTGTTTTAACTTACTCGTTAATTGCTAAAACCTTTCTTTAAAAAATGAAATTCAGTTCTTTCAGACTCCTGGAATACTTTCCCTAAAAGTGATACTTAAAAGACAAGAATCATTTCTGTATTTTTTTAAATCCTCACCCGAGGATATATTATTATTTTATTTATATATATATATATATTATTTTTTAGAGAGAGAGAGGAAGGGGAAAGAGAGTGAGAAAGAAAGAAGGAGAAAGAAAGAAACATTGATATGAGAGAGAAACGTGGCTTGGTTGCCTCTCTATGCACCTCGACGGAGGATTGAACCCACAACCTAGGTATATGCCCAGATGGGGATCAAGCCAGAAACCTTTTTGTGCAGGGGAAGCTGCAGCCAGCTGAGCCACCAGGCCAGGGCAAAAAGAACCATTTCAGTTGTTGAATAGGATCCGGTGATCTTATTTACAGTAAGGACTGCATTTCTTTTGTCTTTCATCTGTGATATCTTTAATAAATGTTTGCCACTGCGACCCAGAGATACTTAGTGATCATGGTAGCAGAGACCCTAAATGTTTGTTTATTTAATGAATAAGTAGAATGGAGGAGGTGAGTTTCTAGGTCTCCCTAAATAATGCATAGCAAGTTTTATTTTCTCATACAAAAGAATTTCAAGTTTAGGAGAATATTCATTTTAATGAAAATTACCTTGCAATCATGTACATGTTTTAAGTAGAATACAGTAAGAAAATCACACTTAATACTGGGACAGTATTAAGTTGGGGATATATTTAATATAAAAGTTTGAACTTTACATAAATGCAAGTGTAAATCTTTATAATTTAGAATCATAGAATTTGCATGTTGTGTTTTGAATGTAATACAGCTTGGTCAAAATGGCCTCATCAACGTATAAAATTGCTGTTTTCAAAAGTTATTAGCAAGTTGTGTGTGCAACAGATTTTCCTGATGACCCCAATTACCCGATACATTCATTTCCTTCACTTCTGGGTTGTTTGAAAATTTTATTATATATAGTATATCATATGTGATAAGTGCCAGAAGTCTATTATAACTATAGAAGCAGTTAAGAAGATCCTTAAAATCATTAAGGAGTTTTTTGATAAGCAGATGAAATCATTTTCTGAGGGAACAGTTAGTTAGAAGTAGGTAATTTTCTATGCAGTCTATAGTTTGAGAACAGAGATAATACTCTGGCTGCAAATATACTACAGTTCACTGCATAATAAATGCATAATCAGGAGCATATAAAATAAAGGGGTACTATCCTTTTGATATTTAAATAGAAAATAGTGCCACTGTTTAGCAGCCAGATCTCTGTTTAACAGAGTGAATAACTTTGAGAGAAATCACAGATTTTGAGATACAAAATATTTTTTAATTTAAAAGATTTTATTTATTTATTTTTGAGAGAGAAGGGAAGGGAGGGAGAAAGAGGGGGAGTGAAACATCAATGTGTTGTTGCCTCTAGTGCACCCCTTACTGGGGACATGGCCTGCAACCCAGGCGTGTGCCCTGACTGGGAATCAAATTGGCAATGCTTTGGTTCACAGGCCCATGCTCAATCCATTGAGCTATACCAGCCATGGCTTATTTTTTTAATTTTAAAAGAGATTTTATTTATTTATTTTTAGAGAGAGGGGAAAGGAAAGAGAAGAGAGAGAAACATTGATGTATGAGAGGTACATCAATCAGTTGCCTCTCGCATGCCTCCAACTGAGGGCCTGGCCCACAACCCAGGTGTGTGTCCTGACTGGGAGTCTAACCAGTGACTGTTCTGTTAGCAGACTGGCACTTGATCCCCTGAGCCACACCAGCCAACTGCAAGATGCAGATTATTGAAGTGGCAAGTAAATTATCAGCAGACAAGTAGAAGTTTTTCTTAGAATAGCCCTTTCTAAGATGAGAAAGTAAAGATTATCTCCTCGTTACATGAATGGTTTATCTCGCAGATAATGGTCCACACCCATCCTGTCCTATCCGTGAATTGTACCTTTCCTCTGACCCTTACTCTAATCTCTGACCTTACTTTGTCTTCCACTGCCTTCTTTGGGCAGAAAGTAGTTGACTCAGGAAGGAAGGAGGTCCAGGGAACCTATGAGGATATCTGTTTCATATGTAACATAAACTTTTTTCCTCAATTTGGAAATCTAGTTAATAGTCCATACTCAACGTCTAGTCAAGATTTCCCCTTATCAAAGCCACAATAAGTAGATAGTCCCTAATAAAATAGGGCATAAAAATGCCTACATTAAAATGTCTTGTTTTGCCCCTTGTATACAATAAAGTGTAAAAATCATATCTATGAAAACTGAGTATCCTTGGTACAGCAAACATTAACTTACTTAATAAGGTGTCTGTTGCTTTCTTAGATTTTAGAAAATACTTGGGAAATGACTTGGGAGAATGATAAGTCTCATACAAAAGTTAGCTGAGCAAATTGGAATCACTGCATTTTTATCTTAGTAATTTTCTTTGTAGTAAGGAGAAATAGAGGAGATTATTATAATAATAATAAAAGTATCCTCAAGTTCCATAATCTCCTTACCTTCACTGTGAGTTTAGTAGCTGGAAACCCTTAGAAACAACCAATCGATCATTAGCACAGGTTTTAAAAGCAGCTTTAAAACATTCTTTACAAAATTACAGATAAGCATGAGAATTAATCTAAATGAGAATTGAATTGCCAGGCCAATTTTAAAACCTTTTGAAAAAAATTATGCAAAGAGCCCAAATTGAATTATGGACGCCAATTCAGTCAGCACACAATGAATAGTGTAACCTGTGGGCCAATGATACAGTAAGTAAAAAGGGGCTGTCAACTTAAAATTTATTTCACAGAGAAGGAAAGTAAAAATAAGGTATATATTTTTTGGTCATATTCTCAAATTTTTGGTTTTAAGGTAGAATCTATTCTTTTCACAGGCTACTTGTCTTCTGGATGATGTGTAAATTGTATAATAAATACTTATGTAGCTGTACCTGTTGGACTTCGAAGTATCCAAGTGTTTTGGTTTCTATTATTTTCCTTGGTCATGATGCCCATTCCTCTGCACCTTACTGGCTGTCTAAATCCACTCTATCTTTGAAGACCCTGATGTTATGGAGGCCACCATTTTCCTAAACTTGGTGCCCCATTCATGTTTTTATACTTTTGCTACATATGCATGTATAGTAAACAAATATAAAATTGTTGCACAAGCTTTAAAAATTTTTGTAACTTAATTATGTTGTGTGTATCATTCTCTACTGTGTATATTTCTGCAGCTTTTTTCTTAGTTCACATACTTGGGAATTTTTTCCTGGATATATATAGGTTTAGTTTTATTTCTGCATTGTATTACATTGTATCAATTAACAAAAAAGTATTTGTCAAATATCCTATTGATGAACACTTGGATTGTTTCCAATTTTTTGCTACTACCATAAAATGTTGCTAAAATTAACATTTCTGTATGATGTAATATCTTAGGCACATACAAACCTAAAAGTAGTACTGAAACTCCATAGTAAGCATTTCATCTTTACCAGATCTTGCCAAATTGCTTTTCAGAATGTGCCTAGTTATACTTCCCCATAGTGGTTTATGTGATTCTCATTGTTCCATATCTTTTCTCTGCTTGGTAATGTTGGACTCTTTTTACATTTTTTCCCCAATGTGATTGGTGTGAAATGGTATCCTTTTTTAATTTTTATTTTCCTGATTTTTGGTGCAGTTGAGCACTTTTCTTTTGATTGTTGGCCATTCTGATTGCCTCTCCTGGGAATTGTGCTTTCATAGTCTTTGCTCATTCTTCTGTTGGATATTTGTCTTTTTAAATTTTTGTGTTGTAGAATTAATTACAGACATTAACCATTTGCTTATAGTATTTTCAGATTTCTTCTTCCTGTCTCTGAGTTGTGTCTTAATTTTGTTTGTATTATACTAAAGTTCAAAAAGATATAAGTATTTTAAATTTATCAATGTAATTGACTATTTTTTTGCAACAGTTTTAAGGCTCAGCATATAGTTACAAACTTAGTCTTCCTAAGATTTGCAGCTAAACATTCCACACAGTTTATCACTGAAATATACACAAAATTATT